TTATGGTATGGACAAGACAGCTATGACAGAGGGTAATTTTATAATGTTTTTGAATTGAATTGAATAACATCTCTACAGAAGCTTAAAAAAAATATAGTGACATCTTATAAAAAATGATTGTGGCATTCTAACATATTATTGTAGTATTGTATTCTTGTTATATCAAAGTCATTAGTCATGCGCATATGTATATGGAAAGCTAATCAACCAGATACAATCACCATGAGAAATGATTATGTTAATATGCTTGCAATGTATAACAATGTATTTATTATTAGTCAAAGCACTTTTTTTATCCAATCAAATAATTAAGAATAGACACACTCGTGATGGCTAGTAATTTTATAATGTTTAGAATTTCATTTGTTTATATAAAATAGTTTCACTTATAAATAGTTGTATAAAAGATCTTTCTAAATAGTGATCCACTGGTGTGCACAGAACTCAGAATCTTCTTGATTGAAATGCAAATGCGAAGTGTGTATATATTTCAAATTTTTACTTTCAATGATACAAACTCTCAGCTATATACTAGACCTTTGGTATACTATAGGTTTAAAATTTGTAGATGTAATAGATCCAACTATTTACACAGTAGTTTTATCTAGTTTTAATCAATACATCTATAATTGCTTCAAATACACTACATTTTACCAATGCTCTTTTTACTAATAAGCCTATTATACCAATAATAAGTTTATGAATAAGTTCAGTTCGCAAACGATATATTTTACTAACAGCTTATTTTACAAAGCAATTCTAGTCAATATATTAAGGATTAAGTATAGTATGAGCTATTGATGAAATATGCTATTTATAAAATTACTTGTCTGTAAATAAATCGTCTGTAAAAATAACCTTGTCAGTGTATGAGTATCAAATGATATGGTGTCTTTAAAGTGTTTATCAGTAAAATAATAAGAATCTATTATATTTAGCTTATTTGTCAAAATTTACTAATTTTGTGATGAAAGATTATCAGATTCATAGTAATTCAGAGCTTTGTCAATTGCAAAAATAGATAATCACATCTTCAATTTATCATTTTAACCTTTATGGCTTTTTAAGCCAGTATCTGGTATTATCAGATAAATATTATGATAATATATTGTGATGAAATTAAATATTTTCGTATAATAGTAAAAACAGTCATATATTACTTTTTTTTCTTATTTATTACTACTTTAGTTATTTAGTTACTTTTATTTATTTATTATTATCTCTTTCTTATTTTATGTATTTATTTCTTTTGCTTTTCTTTATTTATTTTCTTTATTTATTTTGTTTTAGTTCTTAGTTAGCTAGTTAGTTAGTATTCTGTACATATGTAGTTCTATAGCCATATATATATAGTTAGGCAAATAGTTGTAGGATAGTTATGCGAATATAGATATAATATAGGTTGATATCGTGTTCATGGTTACAGGATCATTACATGATGCACATGATCGTGCACTATAATAACCTGAGATACATAACTGTTCATATATCCTCTGTGACCTCAAACCTCACTGTTTATGCAGACTAGATGATCTAGCTATGACCCATACAATCTATTAAGCCTGTAGTGATGCAGTATAAATGAATATATTTAAGGAAGTCTTTTCGCTCTTGTGAAGAGATTCCCAGGAAGAGAATTGTCTTAACATCTAATAAAATCTATCTAAAAGTTAAAACTCAAAAATCTCAATCGTTTGACCTACCTAATTTCTTTAAAATAAACGTTTCTATGACACTCGTTTATCCAAATTTTTGATATTCTCGATAGAATATCCAGAATTTTCATAACAATTGGCGACGATGACAGGACTGATCTCTCTAAAGGAATAAGGTTAATAAATAAAAACAATCAACAAACAACTGAAACGGATAATAAAACCTCGATTTCAGACGACCAACCTGATCCATTTTTGAACAAACTTATCTGCAAGGCTATCTGGTATGAATATAACCTAATAAATAGCTAGAACATTGGTAGATTCCTGTGAACAAAAAGACGGATCCTTTGTTTTTACCAAATGAACTCTAGAGTAAGCAGACCTTATATTCATCCAACTAAAACAGGCCCAAGGGTTCGCCAACCTATGTTAGTATATAAATCAGACCCTATCTCAGATCTGAATTTTTGAGGATACAGATACTTTGTTTGCACAAACATGGTCACCTATTATCTTTTTGTCCCCGAAAGCTCCAGTTCCAAAACAGAACGACCACTAAATACCTATAAAATGGAAGACGTTAACCCGTGGAATAGAGGCAAAATACAATACAACCTTATAACTATCATACCCCACAGCATTCCGAGGATGAATATGACTTCAGAGAAGAGTCAGATAGACTCTACATTCTCTCTAGCAGCAATGAGAGAAGAAAACAAAGGAAATATACCCCTCTGCAAAGAGTAGTTACCAATGCTAATAAGGAAGACAATGGCCTCGGTATTGGTACTAGCAACAGAGTTAGAATCACACTTTGGCCCCCACGAACCGATTCAATTCGTTGGCCTGATCCGGACCAATCTCCATTACCTAGAGCCCCAGTTGTACATAATAATGAGCAAAATGAAGGTAGTAATAATGACGATAATTATAGAGCAGGTAATAATAATGATGTCCACATTGGCAGCAGGGCAAGTCCACTATCACAAAACCTCTATGTCGACCTGAGAGGCATTCCTCCAAAAACTATATCCCAGAATTCCTGGCACAACAAATATTGTATCATTTTAATAGGCTAATCAAAGCCATGAAGAAGGGTAGTAGTAATAGGAACCACAAAAGGGAAACTCAATTGGTCAAAATTCCCACCTTTAAGAGAGGAGAACAAGATCTACTCTGTTGGATAGTTGAGTATAAGGATGCCTGTCAAGCAAATAATATTAATGAAGAAAGGATAATTACTATCTTATCTGTATATCTAAAGGGACAGGCTAACAGTTGGTAGAAGAGAGTAGCCAACTAGGTTCAACATTGGGAAAGCCGTAGATACAATCATTTGTTTATACATCTCTTTCAAAAACAATTTTGCACCCGGCACCAAAAGTCCCAATAGATAACTGAACTATAAAATTAAGTACAACAGCCCAGAGAAACAGTAGAAGAATATTATACCGATTTTGACTATCTTTCTGAAAGGCTGACCCAGAGGAACGATATCCCCTTACTGATAAGCTGCGCCAGTTTATAGATGGCTTACGGGAAGAATTAAGAGAGCCTGTAAAAATAGCCTGCCCGACCACACTAGGCAAGCCCTGACCAAGGCAAAGGTAGCTGAAGCTGAATTTTCCTGAGGTTCCCCACTAAGCTCATACTGACTAAGAAGAAGTTACCAAATAGGGATAGTGAAGTTGAAAGTTCAGAATTAGCGAAGTTAAGAAAGGAAATTGTAGAATTAGCAGAGACTATGAAAAAGTCCTATCTTGGCAACATCCTCACAACATCACTTCAACCTGCCTATCACACCCTATTAATACTACATCCCTTTGGTGTGTCAAAAGTGCAATGGTAGAGAACATTCGGCCTGGAATTGTTCTACCAATCGATCATATAATAGTGGTTCCCAATGCTCTAATAGGCTGAGAGGAAACAGACCCCCATTTGCGCATCAAAACAACAGCCCACCTAGGAATCACCAAAACCAACCCACTAACTCTAACCATAACAATAACCATTATAATCATAACAATCATAACGATGGCAACAATAATTGTGTTAATAATACCAATTGTGGTAACAATAACCTCATCTCTAACAATAATGAGAAATAGTAATAATGATAGGGAGCAGACAAATAACAACAATACGCCTACCTACTTCACTTTTACCAGAGATGACCTTTAGGATCTCATTCGAACCACAGCTCAATTTTTAAACTAACAAAGGCACGCCATGAGTGCGGTGGTGCCTTTTTTTCAATAGACCCTGTAAAATCGGATAATAGTAATAGTGATAGGAATAATTATAACAACATTAATCCTAACTCACCTAACTCCCATACTAGTCAGAACTCATTTAATAATTTACTCTCATTCCTGTAAAATCGGCTAATAGTAATAGTTATAGAAATAATTATAACAACATTAACCCCAACTCATCTAACCCTATACTAGTCAGAACTCATTTAATAATTTACCCTCATCTACCCTAATCTAACTTATCAAACAATTGAATCTCCTAATTCCAGCATTAAATAAGTCAAAGCCAGAACACTCACTGGCAGCAGACCCCAAAAGTAGTATGACTTGTACCAAAAATAAAAAAGAAGCGGAAGCACTATTATTAATAATGACGTTTGAAAACAAACACAAGACGCAGTGGACATAGTATACTGTAATGCAAAAGTAGACGATATACCTTTTTATCTAATCTTATATACAGGGTCGATATAAAGCATGATGTCAAGGCATTCACGAATAAGCTAAATAGAAAAATCAGAAATCCTTCTAATTGTAACATAGTAGATATTAACGGCAGGAAGAAAAGGTCACTGGGACAAATAAAAAAATCCTAATACAACTAGTAAACGAAACAATAATACCAGTAGATGTTGAAGTGAATGACACCCAAGAATATGCTATAATAGTTAGTATAGAATGGATTAACAAATTAAAAGGCGTGATCAACTTAAAAACTGGAGAATTTAGATATAAATGGGACAACTGCCCATATACCATACCTATTATCTGCTAGGAAAAGCCTCAATATCAAGATGGCAACCCCATTATAATCCAACTAAAATATAACAAAACAGGAGAGCAGAAGAATTATCCAGTGAAGAAGAATATAAAGAAGAGTTGAAATGGGAAGTAGTGAAGAAATTTGCAGTATTGGAAAACATAATAGAAGAACCAATTCTAGAAATAAAATAAAATTAGTTTTCATACAGGAAAGTGACAATAGAAGGGTATGAACTGGATATAGACAAAGCACTAGATCCGAAAGTTATGAAGTGTTGGTGTATGAGGACACTAAAGGAATGTGCGAAATTCCTGAAAATGAGAGATGTTATTAGATGTTTATGGAAAAGGTGAACATAGAAGAAATTAAACACCCACCTACCAGCCTCACCACCAAGCAACAACAGCAGTTGAATGGCTTTCTAGGAGAAAATAAGCTTCTTTACTTGCAAAGTTTATATGACTTAGGGCATATAATTGTGGATCAGCATCGTCTTTCACTGAGAACATGCCCTCTATACACCAAAAGGCTTACCGGATGTCCTCTGCAGAGCACAAGTTTATCCAACAGGAGTTGCAGACAATGCTCCAACACGGGCTAATAGCACCGTCCAAGAGCCCATGGTTGTCTCTGGTTGTATTAGTCAAGAAAAAAAATGGAAAAATGAGATTATGTATAGACTACAGGAAGCTAAATAAAATTATGAAATGAGACATGTATCCTCTACCTAGGATAGACGAAATCCTTGACGCTATGAAAGGAGCTAAATAGTTTTCCACACTAGATATGGCCAGCAGATACTGCAAATAGATATTAGGCCTGAGGACTGGAAAAAGACAGCCTTCATCACTAAATTCAGCCTTTTCGAATTTAACGTGATGCCTTTAGGCTCACCAATGCCCCAGCAACCTTCCAAAGGGTGATGGATCGTCTGTTTGCGGATGTAAAGAGAAAATTTATGTTAGTATATTTGGATAATATAACAATATTTTCCTCCACTTTCACACAATACTTACAGCACCTAAGAGAAGTATTCCAATAATTAACTAAAGCTGGATTAAAGTTAGAAAGAGATAAATGCCAATTCGCTCAAAAAGAATTAGCATTCCTAGGCCATGTAATAGAAGAAAAGGGTGTAACACCTGACACTGCAAAAATCAACAAAGTGCAAAACTTCTCTATTCCCAGAAACCTCACTAAAATCCATGGCTTCATAGGACTAGCTTCATATTATTGACGCTTCATCATTAATTTCACCAGAATTATTAAACCTCTAAATAGGCTTCTTAAAAAGAATACATGTTTTATTTGGACAGAGGTGTGTCAACAAGCACACATCCTTCAATACCCAGATTTCTAGCAACCCTTTATCCTTTATACCAATGCTTCATATTAGGAACTAGGAGCCATATTGGCTCAAAAGGATACAGAAAATCGTGATCATATTATAGCCTATGCTAGTAGGACCTTAAGCCTGGCTGAAATCAATTACTCACCTACAGAAATAGAATACTTAGCAGCAGTTTGGGGAATAGAATATTTCTTTGAATTAGTTACCAACTATTCAGACCTCTAATGTTTATTTAACCAACCCACCTCTAATAAAAGGAAATACTGCTAGATCACAAGAATTGCTGATTACCTATATAACGTGATGCATCAGAAAACATCGACACCCTGTCAAGAATCCCTTTTGAACCACCTTAAAGGAAATTAAACACAATCACAAATATCAGTCTGTAATAATAATAATAATAATAATAAAATAATATATATAGATATATCAAATTGTATACTGCACTCTTGAAAAATTTTCAGAATAATGAAACAAATACCATGAATACTCTTAACAACAAAATTCTACTATTGAATTCACCTTAGTAAAAAAAAAAATAGATCTTAAGCAATACTTTAACCTTTTGGTATATCTAACAACACTTTCAGTACCCGTATTTGACCCTGACTTAACAAAAACAATTCAAACAAAAAGCAACTCAATTCATATGAATAAATCAACAATTATATAAGAAGAATAATAAAAAGAATACACAAGCCACTCTACTTAAAGTAGTCCAGACCTTCGAATTGGAGAACATCTTGCATAACCTCTATGCAGATGTTCTTGCTAGACATTTTGGAATAACAGGAATCTATAATAAGGCCAGAGATCGGTATTACTGGCCCGGGATATATAAAAGCATCACTGAATATATCCAAACTTGCGATACATGCCAAAGACAGGGGCATGCAAAGAAAAATGAATCATTACACCCTATACCTGTTAGTGCTCCATTTGACCATGTTGGGATAGATATAGTAGGACTTCTAAAGTTACCCCAAGAGGTAATTGCTACATCATTGTAGCCACCGAATACCTAACCAAATGGCCAGAAGCTAAGTCCATTCCAAACATGAAAGCCATAACCATCGCCCAGTTCCTATATAAGGAAATCCTCACCTGCCATGGTTGTTCAAAGGAATTATTATCAGACCAAGGTACTTCTTTCTGTAATGAGATGGTAGATGCCCTATATCAATTAATGAGAGTCCATCATAGGTTAGCCTCGGCCTACCATCTCCAGACCAATGGACTCACAGAGTGGTTCAATAAAATGCTCTGTAATACTCTTGCCAAATATGTTTGTGTCTACGAAAAGTCCTGGGATACCTTTATATACACTGCCTTATTTTCTTACTACATGGTGCTCCAGGCTATCACAAAATACACACCCTTCTAGTTGTTGTATGGACAGAAAGCCGTATTGCCCATAGACCTGCAAGAAGGCAAATAAAAAGACAACTCAGACCACCTATATGACTTACAAGTTCAAAGTCATATTGATTATATAACAGAAAGGTTATAGCAAGTACAAATAGAGGTTAGGGAAAATATTGAACTAGCCCAAAAAAAGCAAAAAGAAAGATACGATAAGAAAGTAAAGGATACACAATTCCATATTGGGGATAAGATATTACTATACAAGTCTGCAAAAGCTAAGATGCATAGGGACAAGTTCTGAGAAAAATAAAAGGCCCCTACTACATTCACGATCTAATTGCACCAGGTGTATATAAGCTTCATACCACTGACATTGACAAAGTCCTAAAAAAGTCAGTTAATGCAGATTGACTTAAACCTTATTTTAAACGACCACTATGGAAGCCAATCATAATGGTGTGAGAAAAATGAAAGAAATACTAATGAATAAAAGGCTGTTATGAAATATAAAAGAGAGAAAAATAATTCAAAAGTTAAAAAAAAAAAAAAAAAAAGAAAGAGATCAACCAAAAATCAAGAACACAGCCACTACCATTAAAAGAATGACTCGCTTTCACGTGACTAAACAACAATCGGCCCATAATCATCTTGTCAAAAATGTTATTGATTATTACTCGCTTGAAAAACAGAACCCTTTGAGGTTCTTACCACCTTATAACACAAATAATTCTTGGAAAATGGCCCTAGAAAAGGTGGTTTAGGAATGTCAAGCGGCTATAAAAGATAAGCATCATATTTGACTATTGGCAAATTCATATCACCTCAGTGAATTACTAAGAATTGAAAATAGCTGAGTCAAGTGGCTGGAATATGTGGAACGTAATGGTATCAAGTGTGAATAGCGATTATACAGAGAAGCCAAAAGAGTTCTAGAGGTATTCGAAGGAAACCCGGAACAGATATACTGGACTCAGAAGATATGCATACACTTTTTGGAAGGTCTCACTGATGAAGACTATAATAACAAATTCCTACCATATACCCAAACAAGTTTAGAGTTCATTATCTGGAATATAAGGAACTCACTTAATGCTTTAGAGGACCTCACTTTTTAAAGAGAGAAATGTGACCAATTTTTTTTTTATTTTTTTATTTTTATTTTATTTCTTCGGCAAGTCTAGTTATGATTTTGGTCCAGCTATATTATAGTTGACTCTATGCTACTAGTGTCACAGGACCTCTTTAACCCCATACGGGTATCATGTATATGCACCTGGTATCTATTGTCCAACATTTCTCCGGTTCCCTCATTGGGACCTAGGTCCGACCGCCTGTACGACACTCCGGAGAGGCCAAAATACCTTATCCTTGGACTGCTATTTCACGAGCCAATCGGGTGGTGCCACGAGTTCATGTAGTACCTTCTCAGACTTTTTAGACCTCACATTACATCTCGTAACTTCAGTTATTCCAAATCGGGGTTCTAGCATGGCTTTTCTTTACAGCCACAGCTTCTTGGAATAATTATTCCCCGAATACATCTATCCGTAGATATCCTGGGTTCCCTGTACCCGCGGTGTTTCACTTCCATATTTGGTTTTTCATTATTTCGCTACTAGGAGGAATTGAACCGGCAACCTTATGATTTGTAACCTGGGAGCATAACCGCTATGCTATCGACCCACAGGTCAATATGACCAAATTAAATATTTTCATATAACAGTAAAAATTGTCGTATATTACTTTCTTTTTTTATTTATTACTACTCTAGTTATTTAGTTACTTTTATTTATTTATTATTATCTCTTTCTTATTTTATATATTTATTTCTTTTGCTTTTCTTTATTTATTTTCTTTATTTATTTTGTTTTAGTCCTTAGTTAGCTAGTTAGTTAGTATTCCGTACATATGTAGTTCTATAGCTATATGTATATTGTTAGGTAAATAGTTGTAGAATAGTTATGTGAATATAGATAGAATATGGGTTGACGTCACGTTCATGGTCACAGGATCATTACACGACACACATGATCATACACTATGATAACCCGGGATATATAACTGTTTATGTATCTTCTGTGACCCATAAACCTACTATCTATGCAGACTAGATAACCTAGCTATGACTCATACAATCTATCAAGCCTGCAGTGATGCAGGATAAATGAATATATTTAAAGAAGTCTTTTCGCTCTTGTAAAGAGACATTTCCGGGAAGAGAATCGTCTTAACGTCTAATAAAATCTATTTAGATAAGCAATACAAGAACCCACTAGGCTCTGTGACAATAGCAATACAAGGGACCTTTTATTTGATACTCAGAACCAATAGACTGTAAGAATTTTTTTTAGTGGTTGAGCTTTATGGCCATGGGTGGTGGTGGTGTAAAGTCCAGAATAAACAGGCTAGCAGGCTGGCCCGTTCTGAACCCTATTGATAAACTGATGAAATAGTTTTATCAAACAATCTTTAATTGACAAATAACAAAACTCATGATGAAAAAATAAATAATAAATGAATGAAATATATAACGAATTATAGAATTTATATGTAATATATATAGTATTTGGATATAATAATAAGGAAAGTAAAATGTTTCTTTTAGAAACTTATACACAATTGTACTAGTTCTGCATGGCATCACATGCTGTGCAGCTACTCTAATTATCAATTCCTATATCAATATTAGTAAGATATTTGAGATCTGAAATGTGACATGATGGCAGGCACATGCCCTTGTGATTTAGAGTATATTTAAATTTAGGCTTTCTGGCCTAATTTATCAAATCTGGCAGATAATAATAACCCAGAAATATCAAAACCAAGGATTAGTATAATTTGGGTAAAATAGCAAATCTTAATAATACTGGCTATAAGGCTGATATTGGGTTTATTAGTGATACTAGTAATATAGATGATTCATACTTGTTATTTAATAGATATTAGTGAATACAGTGTATTCTACAGAATAATAGTAAAATCACATGGCTAAAGGGCACATAGTTTACTATTATTCTGTGAAATATACGTTTATTGATATTCATTAAATAACTAGTTTATTCCATGGATATAATATAACAACCTATGCAACCTCTTTAATCTCAATAAATGAATCAAGGGATTTCATGACATAATGATAATTATTTAAACAAAATTTTTTATCATTTATACCCTTCTATTACTATTGTTCATTAACTATTACTTCATACTAGCAAAAAATTTTAATACCTTTCACTTTAACCAAAAATTCTAAACTTTTCACTTAGAATAGCAAGAGAATTTTAAAGCCTTTCTAAATAGTACTAGTATGTTCAACTGAGTAATTTGCTCTAAATAATATATCAACAAAGAATTTTAAAAATACCATTATAACAATCAACGAATTTTAAAAACCTATTATTGTTAATGGTACTATTGCATTACTTATGAGAATTTTAGTCAGCAAAAAGAATTTTAAAACTTTCACATAATGTATTTATTCTGCATAAAACCTTTTTAAAATCTTTACTTGTCTTAATATTCAAAAAAAAACTATTGTAAAAACCTTTTGTCTACAAAAATATGTATGATTACATTAACCAAAATAATTTTAAAAACCTTTTGTACTAATATACTATTACACCAACCAATATAATTTTAAATCTTTCTATTCTAAATAGTACTATTATGCTAGCTGCAAATAGTATTATTACACTAGCTAAAAGAATTTAACTTTTTTGCCCCAAATAGAACTATTACACAAAAAAAAATTTGATCTAAAGTAATATCATAACAATTAATAAAAATTTAAAATCTTTTGTTTAAGCATTTGAAAAAAAATAACAAATAAAAATGGTACTTTCACTGATGTAACTATAAAACCAGATATTAAATTATTTTAGTTATTAAATTATTTTGATAACTTACTATAACTTAAAAAAATTCTCACCAGTCTATATGAAAATCATGTGATTTTTATATAGACTAGTAAAATAACTTAGGAAAAAGTACAGATTGTTACATAGTACATATGAAATAATTGTAATATAAATAGCTATATTTACAATTATAAATAAATGTCTTCTGGCCCTTGAGAGATGTTAGTTCTACTTTAAATAATAATAAAATATCTAAGTTATATATAATAATCTAAATACATTCTTTATAACCACTTGTCCAAATCTAACACACCTTTTTTGACCCATCATAATCTAATTTTTGGTTACCCAAAGCCACTATTGTCCTAGTGACAAACTTGCTAATTTTAAGTCTCTCAATAGTATCAGGAATGGAGTGATGCATATCACATAAACATAATTATTCATTGTGCTCCATATAGGTCAGATTACTAATTAAATAGAATCCAAATTTCCAGTTTCTATTTTTTCAACTAAGAAATTAATCAAACATGTTAGTTAAAAAGTGTCTGATCTTCTAAATTGTTTGTTTATAAGAATATAAACCATTTATATATTTTCAAAATATTTGCTTGCATGACAGAGAATTTGATGTGGTATTGAATACTGAAGTTTGGAATTTCAAATAGAAGTCTTCATTTAGAAAAGTTGAGTGAAGAAGAAAGTTTAAGTGATATTTAAAGAATAATTTATTATGATGATAAATATGATCATTGAACAAAGTTGAGCTATTAATTGAATAGTGTAATTTATTTATGTATTTGAATCATGTATTTAAGCATTGTTTTTTGCCTCAATAAAATTTTCTTAAATTTGTCTATTTTAAAAATCCTAAATATATATAAGTTAGTAGGCATTTCAAAGCTAAAGACAATTTATAAATTTTATTTTATATTATTGAATTCTCTATACTTCTTGTTAGCATTAAGTTAATTCTTGTTTTATTTAATTTATTAATTCCTTATGTTTTTATTTTTATTAATTGCTTAATTTATTGATCATTTGATTTATTTATTAACACATTACTTCTAATACTATCTTCGCTTCATAATTAACTAAATCTCTCATATTTCCCACTCTTGTTTTATTTACTCAAAACACTCCTTGCTTTCTCTAACCTCTACTATTCGATATTCTCCAAAGTATACTTTGTTTACTATTTTGACTAACTTGGCACATATTCTGACTAACTTGGTGCATATTCTAATAGCTCTTCTTCTAAACAGAAACCTCAAAATTTTTCTAATTACACAAAATCCGATTAGATAAAATTGACAATCCTTAATAACAATGGTTACTTGTTATTTAGTGAATATTTGTAAAATATCCTGCATTCACAGATATTTATTAAATAACTTATTTATTCTATAGTATAGTGTATACACCAATGTAATTACGTCATTCATCATACTTTCATAATACAGTCAGGAATATACCAAATATAGATAGCATTAATTGCAACTTTTATAATATACAAATGCTGATTAAATAATTCTAGACATTTGGTTATATATAAATTATATGAAATAAGCCAATTAAATTACAGATTTGAAAATAAAGAAATTTAAATGATAATATATACAAAAAATATATTATAAACAGAAGTTTGCTCAAATTTCACCAAATTTTAAATTTATTAAAAATTTGTATTATCAATAATTTAATTAATATACTAAGATTGATTTATTAGTAAAAAATCTAATTTTAATCATTTGTTGCAAGTATAAGATATTTCCTCAAATATTAATCCAAATGAAATAATTTTTAAACCATTCATTTTATCTCAATAAGTAAATTGAATGGTGTAAAAATCAGTTAATTTTAATGAGTAGAATAATGCACTTTTTTACATATACTTTTTATAA